CCGCGGCCAAGTCTGGCCACAGGCCCCAGGTCCCTTCGAGTTCTCCGTCCTCAGTCCTGCGCGAATGGGTCTGCTGAAGGGGCCTGGACCCCCAATTCCCGGACCTGCTGGGGCGTGCCGCGTGCTGGGGAGTGCCGGGGAGTGTCCCCGCACGACTTTTTCGGAGCGGCGAGGGCCCCAAAACGGGGCCAGAGGGCCCCGAGACGCTTCCGACACGGTCCAACAGGGCCCCGTCGGCCCAAGAGCGCTCCGAAGTGCCTAAGATGGCTGAAGACGACACAGAAAACCCCCCAGACGCCCCAGGAGAGCCCCAGGAGGCCCCCCAAGAGTGCGCCAGGAGGCCCAAAATATCGATTTCGCGTTGGTTTGGGCAGGATGTTGGCGTTCTCGTCGTCTCCGGTCCCCGACCGACAGAGATGGCCCAGGAGGCCCCCGAGATCGCCTCAAGACGGCCCCAGAGGCCCCCCATGAGGGTCCCAAAGACAGCCCAAAGAGAGCGCCAAAGCGGCCCAAGAGGCCCACAAGACAGCCCCAAACGGCCCCAGGAGGACCCCAGGAGGGCCCCAGGAGGGGCCCAAGGAGGGGGGACACGAAGCGACAGTTCGAGCCCTCCGCGCCCCAAGATGGCTCCCGAGGCCGCCTGCAGGCCGCCACCGAGGGGCCCACCCCAAGTCCACGGGAGGCCCTCCCTCCTCCTCCCTCCTCCTCCCTCCTCCTCCCTCCTCCTCCCTCCTCCTCCCTCCTCCTCCCCCCTCCTCCCTCCTCCTCCCTCCTCCTCCCTCCCCCTGCCCCAGAGAAGCCAAAATCAGGCCACGGGCAGCCGCAAGAGGTCCCCGAGAGGCCCAAAGGCCCCCAAAAACCGCCGCCGAGAGGTTGTCGATGGGCCTCCCAAGGAATCCCCACAGGCATCCGAGAGGTTCTGACCTACAACCCAGGCACGGTGGCGGAATGGGACAAAGGCAAGTGGGTATAAGTAGATGGGCATGCAAAGATACGTTCGTGCGTACGTACGCACATACATACGTACGTACATACATACATACGTACAGACATACATGCATACAGACAGACAGACAGACAGACAGGCAGACAGACAGACAGACAGACAGACAGACATGCATACGTACATACATACATACATACATACATACATACATACACACACACACACACATACATACATACATACATACATACATACATACATACATACATACATGCATACATACATACATACATACATACATACATACATACATACATACATACATACATGCATACATACATGCATACGATACCAGAAACAAATAACTATTGTTTAGGGTTATAGGGCTATGGGGGTATTGGGCAAAGGGGCGATAGGGCCATAAGGCTGTAGGGCTATGGAACTAAAGGGCTATGGCGCCATAAGGCTATGGGTCTATAGGGCTATAGGGCTATAGGGCAATAGGGCTATAGGGCTGTAGGGATATAGAGTTATGGGGCTATGGGGCACTGGGGCTATGGAGCTATAGGGCTATAGGGCTATAGGGCTATGGGTATATAGGGCTATGGGGTTATAAAGCTATAGGACCATAGCGCTACAGGGCTATAGGGATATAGGGTTATGGGGCTATAGGGCTATAGGGCTATAGGCATGCATAGAGTTATGGGGCTATGGGGTTATAGGGATGTAGGACTACAGGGCTATAAAGCTATAAGGCTACAGGGCTATAGGGCCATAGGGCTATAGGGAAAAAAAGGTTGTAGGGCTACAGGGCTAAAGGGCTATTGGGCTACAGGGCTATAAAGCTATAGTGCTATGGGGCTATAGGGCTATAGGGCCATAGGGCTATAAGGCTCTAGTGCTGTAGGGCTGTAGGGCTATAGGGCTTCAGGGCTATAGGGCTATAGGGCTATAGGGCTATAGGGCTATATGGCTATGAGGATATGAGGCTATGGGGCTATAGGGCTATGGGGCTATAGGGCTATAGGGCTATAGGACTATAGGGCTATAGGGCTATTGGGCTATGGAGCTACAGGGCTAGAAGGCTATAGGGCTATAGGGCTATAGGGCTATAGGGCTATAGGCGTATAGGGCTATAGAGCTATGGGGCTCTAGGGCGGTAGGTCTATAGGGCTGTAAGGCTATAAGGCTACGGGGCTATAGGGCTATTGGGCTATAGGGTTAGAAGGCTATTGGGCTATGGGTCTGTAGGGCTATAAGGCTATGGGCTATAGGGCTATATGGCTACAGGGCTATAGGTCTATAAGGCACCAGGGCACCCGGGCACCCGGGCACCTGGGCACCCGAGCACCCGGGCACCTGGACACCCGGGCACCCGGGCACCCGGGCACCCAGGCGGACCGCGGAAATCGGCGGCAAAGCTTACCTAACCAGATGAATTCGCCAGGACCCCTACAGAGGCAAGCTCTGATTGGGGAACATGCATACATGCATGCATACATAGATACATACATACAGATGTGCATACATGCATGCGTACATATATAACGTAGATGCATACCTATATATAACTATACATATGTGCATATATATATACATATATATATGTGTGTGCACGTACACAACGCAAGTATGGCATGTGTACTTATGCGATGTACAAGTGCTTCTATATGAACATAATCAATGCGTGTATGGCATCAGTGTATGTATATACATGGATACCTACAACTATCTGTATATACATATATGTATATATATATATGTATATACACATACGTAGATATATACATACATCAAGACACTAGAAACATCGACGCGCGCGCCCAGCGCGGGCTCGAGATCTAATATCTGGAAGCCTCGTGCGTCGTGGAAAACTAGTGTAAGTACAATCGCCCAGGAAGGTTCATCGGGCTGTTTGGGGCGTCTCCCGGCCTGCCTCGGGGCTCTTCGGGGGCCGTTTTCTTTGGGATATCTTGGACCGTCTAAGCCGTCTGAGGAGTCTCTTGGGGTTGCCTGGGGATTGTTGCAACATTTCTTGGGCCGGTTACGGGCCCTGTTCTGCCCTCTTGAGCCTTGCCGGAGGACGTCTTGGGGCGTCTGGAGGCTCTCTTGGGCAATATTGGGCCTCTCTTGGGCCGGCTTGGGCTGCGCTTGGGGCCCTTCTGGGCGATCTTGGGGCAATATTGGAAACCTCTTGGGCTGCATGGATCGCTCGGACGACAAAAAAAATAGTATCCGAAAACCAAACAGAGCCTTCGAAGAACATTCATGGCGTGTGGCGCGGACGCCAAACGTCGGCGCCCGCCCACTGAGACCGTAGGTAGAGATCCCTCTGGGGCCATGAAACGTATGAGGGTGTGCTGGCTTGGGGGCTGTGATGCCATACGTCGCCGCCCCGTGAGACCGCAGGTGGGCCTCTCCATGGGGCCACGAAACGTGTGAGCGCTGCGCCGAAATTCACATCCGGAGAGCAGAGGGAGGAGGGAGGGAAGAGGAGAAGCGCGCTCTAATCACACGAGGAGAAGGAGAAGGAGAAGGAGATGAGATTCTAAACGAGGGTCCAACTCACACATGATAATGGTTGAGAATAGAAGGCTCCGAGCTTGCGGGTCGGGGGGGCGCGGGGAATAGGACCGGGGGGGGGGCTGGGAGGCGGGGGGCGGCCAGGCACCACGGAGCTCCGAAGGAGCCAGGGAAGGGGCCAGGCGACGAGGACAAACAACCAACGACGATGACCACGAAACAAAACAAAAAACAAAAAAAAACAAAAAATGGCTCCGAGCTCTGGAGCACAGCTGCGCAAAGAACTCCAGGCTAAGGGGGTGCCCGCGGGAGGGGGAGTGGGAAGGGGGGCGGAGAGGGCTAGGAGGCCAGGGGGTCCAGGGGGCCAGAATCAGGGAGCCCCGCGGGGGGACCGAGTGAGGGGCAAGGAGAGGGGGATGAACCACGAACGACGACGACCACGAAATGAAGGGCTCCAAGCCCTAGAACACAGCTGCGCGAGAGAGTCAAGGGCTCCGAGCTCCAGAACACAGCGACGCGAGAAAGTAAAGGGCTCCAGGGCCAGGGCTTCAAGGGGGAAGTTCCAGGGCCAGTAGGAGCAAGGGCACGGGCTAGGGCCAGGGCGAGGGGCCAGGGCCCACGGGGAGGGGCCAGTCAATACCAGGGGGAGGGGGGCGACGGGCGACGAGGACGAACGACGACGAATGAAGGAAACAAAACGAAACCAAGATGCACGCGTGCCCTCGCTCTTGCAAGAGGAAGCGGCGAGAGACAGGAGGAGCAGTGTGAGGAGACAGGGGAATGGCGGGACGGGGGTGCGACAAACTAAAGGAACAACGACGGCAGTAAAGAGCTCCGGTCTCTACAGCACAAATGCGTGAGATTATCAAAAATTATCAAGGAAACCCTGGGGGCCCCCGTCGAACACCGCTGAGGCTCCTGGACGCCCTCACGGGGCTCCTTGAAACTTAGGGGGCATCTGCAAGCCCCGCTGAAGATCCATCCCAGCTCCTCCAACATCTTTCAGGAGAAAGCCGGAAGCGCTCTGGCGCGCGTCCTCGAAGACTCGCGCCCTTCTCTATTTCCCCCTTGTCCTCAGTATCTTCCTCCTCCTCCTCCTCCCCTCCTCCTCCTCCTCCTCCTCCTCCTCCTCCTCTTCCTCCTCCTCCTCCTCCTCCTCCTCCTCTCCGTTTCCCCCGCGCGCGTAGAAGGGACGGGGAGGAGGGCGCGGAGGGCGGTTACCCAGACGTCCGACGTCCTCCTGTCTACAGTCCGCGTAGCTCTGGAGCTTGACCCCATCTTCGGCCTGCAATTTATACCGCGGGCCGTTTTCGTGGACCAGAGCCCCCAATGAGCCTCGAAAGAGGCATCCAGAGGCTCAACAAGATCCAAAAACGTCTGGAGACCATCGTGGAGAAGAAGAGGACGACAACGACGAGGAGGATTCCAAAGTTCTGGAAGGAAAAAAACGACAAACAAGCAAAAAAACGACGTCGTGATGGCTCCGCGGAGCGGGGAGGCCCGGGACGCTTGCGGGCCCGGAGAGGGGCACCTTCTGCTGCCTCTTCTGCTCGAGCCGCTGCTGCTGCACGGTGGAGTGGGCGTACAGCCTCTCGTGCACGGGCACGTTGCTCGGCGGGCTGCCTTCTGGGCCGGCGCGTCCCCCCCCGAACACCCTGCGTCGCATTTTTCTGTTGCGTCGGCAGCTGGGCAGGGGACGTCTGCGCTGGCGGTGGGATGCCTGAATGAAGATACCGTTAGAGCGAATTGTGCCTCCGTGCAGGAGGAAGAGGAGGAGGAGGAGGAGGAGGAGGAGGAGGAGGAGGAAGAGGAGGAGGAGGAGGAGGAGGAGAGGGGGGAGGCGCGGCCGAAAAAGCGGCGCGCGGAGCGAGCGGCTCAGGGGCGGACGGCTCGCCCCGCGTCGCAAGACAGTCGAGAGGGCCCGCGCTTCCCGGGTTCTCCTCGGCCTCCGCAGGCCCGCTTGCGGGCCTGCGGAGGCCCCGAACCAGCGCCTCCGCAGGTGGCTCGCCGGGCGGTCTTCGGGGCAGGGGCTGCCCCCCCTTGCACTGCAGGATCGGGAGGTCGGGAGGCGGCGGGCTGGGGAGGGCACGCCAGCTTCGGCGGGAAATGGAGTCGAAGTGAAAAACGTCCGCCAGGGCGAGCTGCATCGGCGCGGAGACGAAATCGAATCGGGTCGGCTGCTGCAGGAGGGACGACAGGCGCCGTGCGAGCATCGGGCCGCATTGGAGCGTCGGACGAGTTGTCCAAACCGAGTCAGCTCGAATCCGATCTGTCGAATCGACGTGAGCCCCGCCCCGACCAGGCTTCGTCACGGAACAAATCGGGACGGCCAGCAGTTCCGAGTTCCTTGGCCTCTGAAGGCCCGCTACTGCGGCGCCACGGACAAGCGAACGACCCAGGACAGAAAGAAAGCAGCGCCAGGGAAGGGGTCGAGAATCTCGGGGTGGGGGGGAGGGCAACGTCATAAAATCGTGACGTCGGAGAGGATGGTCTTCCAATCCTTCCCATGGTCCTTAGTCCGAATTACTATACACTCCGACGCTGTCTAGCCGGCTGGTAACCCGTCAATCTGGGCCCTTTCCTCCTGTGCGCAACCCATCTGCACCACGTGACCTGAAAAATCGGCCAAATCCTTGCAGGAAAACGGCATGACCATGAACGCGGTTTGAAGCTGAATGGGGTGTTCGCGCGTTGCACGATTCACAGGAGAGATTTCGGTCGTGGGAGGACTAGGTGGGAGGAGGGGGACGCAGGTCACCTCCTCGTTTGCCCCCCACGCTTGGGAGAGCCTTGAACGTCTGCGGGCCCTGTGTCGTCTGCGGGCGCCATCTCTGCAGGCAATTGCACGTCTGCGGGCCCTGTCTCGTCTACGGGCCGACACCTCAAGACCTGCCACGTCTGCGGGCGCCATCTCTTCCCTCGTCTCGGAGCTGTACACGGACACCGTCACGACGTCCACGGACGCGAGCTCGACAGCGGCGGGGGGCATACACGAACACGGCACCGCACGCAGCAGCTCCGCTAATTCGAAGTCGCCTACCTTTTCATCGGCCAAGTCCCAGCCCGGCCAGGCCCCGACCAGGCCTCGGCAAGGCCCCAGCCAGGCCAGGCCCCAACCCACCTCTCCACGCAAGCTGTCCGGCCAGGCCATCGTCGAACCCACGTCCCACATCACGAAACAGTGGAGGCCCCGATCCGCGTCGGCCGCGTCGGGGACAGCGGCAGGCTGGCGGCCCAGTGGCCGCGTCCGCGCCGCCTCTGAGGGCGGCCTGCAGGGGGCTGGTCGCTCCCCGCGCTGGCCGAAGCGACCGCCTAAAGCCACAGCGCCCGCCCGCACACGGCGCAACGCTCGATTCGGCCGCCGCCCTGCCCGCAGACAACCTCTCCACGGTCGGGGGGCCGAGGCTTCCTGCCTGGGGCAGGCAAGCGGGCAGCCTCGGCACGCACCCGAGGCCCGCCAAAACGCCTGCGGGAGGCGCGCAGGGTTCGCGGGACGGTTTCTGGATTGGAAGACATGAATCACCTACGTATCAGATCATGCTCATTATGTTCCCATCCACCACCACCATCACCACCGTCACCATTATCACCACCACAACCACCACCACCACCATCATCACCATCGCGACCATCATCATCATCCGCACCATCAGATTATCACCCTCATCATCAGCATCAGAAGCATCATCATCACCATCAGCATGATCACCAGCATCAGGATCATCAGTTTCATCATCATCTTCATCAGCAGCAGCATCATCAGCAGCATCATCATCGTACTCCTCATCATTGCCACCCGTCACTGCCATCATCTGCATCAACAGAAGCAGCATAACCGTCCTCCTGATTTTCCACTGCATCAGCAGCATCAGCATCCGCAACAAAAACCACCAGTAGCAGCAGCGACAGTCGCAGCATCAGCACCAGCACCAGCATAATAATCACCATCAACATCATCACCTTCATCAGCAACAGCAACAGCATCATCAGCAGCAACACCGTTATCACCATCAGCAGCAGCACCCTCGCCATCACCATCATCATCATCCGCATCATTGGTTGTATCACCACAGAGAGCACTCCACCTGTTCCAACCTCACAGTCTTTGCTACGCGCGAGACGTGCGTCTTGCCCTTGATGCGTTGATGATACAGTCACCCGACACACTGTACATCCGAAACGACCTGCCCAAGCTGCTAGACACGCAAGTCGGCCGTCTGCTGGCACGCGAGCGAATGACAGGACGGCGGCGCCCACTTAAAGGCAGCGAAACATTGATTCTGCATTGTCCCAGCGCCCACGGCACTGCAGCAATAGCAAGCCCAGCTTCTGAAACAAGCAGACACGATGGATTGCCCCGCCTCCTCGCGGCGACCCAGGCGCGCGCAATGAGTCGCTGATGCCGACGAACCCCTTGAGGTAAATGAACCTCTGGGTCAGCCCACGCAGCTGCCCTCGGCGCCGCAGGGGGAAGTGGCCGAAGACGCGCGCGATCAAGTTCAGCAGCGCAGGATTGTCGATCAGGACATTCAATTTTAACCGACGGTCTGATGTCCTAGAGAAGCACAGCACGAGCACGCCTGCGTTGACGTCGCCCACCAGGCCCCCAGGCAGGACAAGATGTTCCCGGCGGGAATTCGCGACCCCGCTGGGCCGCAACAGCAGGTGGAGGGGGGGGCCACGCAGCCGTCCAATCCCATTCCTGTGCTTGGGCAGCCACAGCCAAGGCCGGGAGCACAGGCATGGGCACGCGCATCTCGACAAGCTCCAACTTGCGCCAGCGAGCCACCACGGCCCACGCATGGCGCAGTTGGCCGCGGGTCTGCGGCCAGCGGAACTGGACGCCAGCAGCGGCCGCAAACCCCCAGGAGCACGGCGCCTTCGAATCGCACAAGTACTGAGTGTAGGCGACGAGGGTGGCTTTGAGCAGCCCGATGCCACGCGCGACATCGCCGGGGCGGGGCAGGCCGTGACCCTGGAGCCATCGGCCCCACTTGTCGACTATGCCGATGCACCGACGGGCACTCGCAGGCTTGACTGTCACTCGGAGGTCGCGCCTGGCCCGCAAGGATGTCCGGCGTCGAAGCGCGCCTCGGCGCCCGGGGGGCCTGGGAGCGCCCACTAAAACACTGCCAAGGCTGCCCCCGCGCCCACAGGGCGCCCGCGTGGTCGAGGGCCTTCACGAAACCCGGCCCAGCCGCCACGCATTCGTTGCCGTAGCCCCCACGGCCGCGGGCGCGCCCGGGAGGACCGCGAACGCAAAATCATCGAATCGCGAGAAGGTCCCGTAGGGCGGCCGCAGAGCGGACGCCAGCGGCCCGGTTGAAATGACGAGCTCGATCTCTCGGGCGCGCACACGCCGGGGTCGGCGAGATCCTCGGAGGGGCCCCCGCTGCACGCCGCGGCTGATGACGATTCACCCGCGGCGCTCCAGGGCTGCACTCAGGGGGGCCCTCGGCACGCTGAGGCGGCACGCTGAAGGCGTCATATAAGACAAGGTGTCGGCGCCCAATGACTGCACGATGCACGCGCACAGCCCCGCCCCAGTGCATCTCTGTGGCGAGGACGCGGTCTGGCCCCACGCACCTCATCACCGCTTGTTGGGCCATTTGCAGGATCGCGGGCACTTCGCACCCAGGAGGGGAGGAGGGAACACTGCGAACAGCATAATCGGGGGAGTCATGGCGAAGATCCTGTTGGGGATCCTGCTGGACGATCGCCCTCGGACAGCAACGCGATGTTCAACCTGTGAGACTGCGAAAACTGGAATGCGCTTACCATGTATGTCGAGGTCATTGACCGCCTGCTTGACCAGCGACGCGAGGGCGATGGCCTCCCGCGCGCTCATATGGCGCCGCCCCGTAAACCTACTGCCAAGCATAATGGCGAACTCCCCGGACCCTATCCAGGAAAGCAATTAGGGATCACCACGCACCCCCCCACCCCACCCCCACCACCAAAGACATCGAGAGGCTCGTCGGGGACGCGGGGCCCGAGGAGCTCGCGCCCAAAACTGGGCCGCCGCCTCCACGTTGAGCGGCGCCGCAGCGACTCCGCCGACGAAGAAGGCAGCGCCCGAGCCGAAGACCTACTCATTCACCGTCGAGTCAAGCTAGCTTCTGAACAACGGGAAAAGAAAAAACAATCCAATCAGCACGTCAATCACCTCATTCGGCAGCCGTCGCCGCGCTGCGGGGCCTACCCCAGGCACGCGAAACCACGCGTAGAGCATGTCCACGAGGCACACGGCGGCCCGGCGCAACATCCGGCGGCGAGCCCAACACCCGACAAGCCTCTTCACGACAGCGACCGATGCGGCGCCGACGAGGGCGACGCACGCGGTGATCACGCCGAGCCGCTTGACTCCCACGACCTCTCCGCCCCCGTCGAATCCCCCCGAAGAGATCTCGACCCCCCGAGACGACGGCCCGCGGCTGATGCAGAGTCGATATCTCCTCCTGTCTCTCGACGCCCACCCGATCGCACGCCCGGCGCCATCGCTGGACGCGCTGGGGAGTCGCCCGTCGGATCGGGTCGCGTCAGAGCCATCACAGAGCCCGACGACCACGCGGCCATCGGCATAGACAACTTCCCCGACTCGATCCGCGGGAGGGCCCCGACCG